AGGGTTGAAGGGCCGCAACTTGCAGGGAGAGTTGCTCTGCTGGAATTACAACATGGAGAGGCCATGCCAGAAGAAGCCGTGCCAGTTGAAGCATCAGTGCATGAAGTGCTTTGGGCCTCACCCCTATACCTTGTGCACAGTCTTGTGACCCGAGCACGAGCCGGCCAATTCCGCTAATGCTTTGGCTAACAGTGGGTCATTCAGTTTCGGCTGTTCCGCTGCAGAGCCCTTTTTGCCAACACCGCCATTTTCTTTCCCAAGTCAGCCAGCCGCCCCCTCTTTTCCCTTTTCCAACGAACCGGCTCCTACGCCGCGTAGGCATGCCCCTGTGCATCCTACCACCTCACCTAGTGAGGTTTTCCAGGCCCCTGTGCCTGCTGGGTTCGCCCCTGTGCTACCCAGCGCTTCTCCCCGAGAAGCTCTTCCCAAGGCCCCTGTGCCTGCTGGGTCTGCCCCTGCGCGACCCAGCGCTTCTCCCCGAGAAGCTCTTCCCAAGGCCCCTGTGCCTTCTGGGTTTGCCCCTGTGCGGCCCAGTGATCCCCTTCCGGGTGCCTTTCCCTTGGCACCTGTGCGTGGTGGGTGCACCCCGCCGTTCATCCGGCCGCTCTTTCTTGGCACGGTCATGCTTCGGGCGCATTGACTCCAGCGCCCTGTGCCCAACCTTTCACCAGGCCCTGCCCTGCCAGTGACCATGCCTTTCCTTCGGCCTCCGGCCTTTCCGAGGATCTCGCTTCCTCGGCCAGTCCCTCTGTTTCCGCGCCTGCCCGCAGCCCTGAGGGCCGCGCACCCTGTGTGGTAGAGATCTTTGCAGGTTCGTGCAACTTTTCTTCCACAGCCGTCTCCATGGGTTTTCAGTCAGTGGCAGTGGATCATGTCCCAGCCAAGCGGTGGCATGTTTTGCAGTTGGACTTGCGCGAACCTGGCGCCCAGCAGTTGCTGCTCAGCACGCTCAGGTGCTTGCAGCCGGACCTAGTGGTGCTTGCACCCCCGTGCGGCACAGCCTCCCGAGCGAGGGATATTCCAGCTTACAGCAATGGGAAGCGTATTGCGAACCCGCTCCGTTCGGGTCAGCATCCAGACGGTTTGCCTTCGCTTCGAGGCCTTGACCTCGCTAGGGTGACCAGTGCCAACAGCCTTTACGCGTTCACAGCCGTTGTCGCAGGTATGTGCAGCCAGCACGGCATACCGTGGATTATTGAGAACCCTGCTCGCAGTTATATGTGGGACACTTCCATGATGAGCACACTCCCTGTGCATTCGCAGACCGGGGTCCACTTTTGCGCCTATGGGGGTGCTCGCCGCAAACGCACTGTCCTGAAGGCCTGGTTGCAGACTCTTTGCCGCACATGCGACGGCAATCATTCCCACGCCCCGTGGAAAGATTCCTGGGGCATTCACACCGCCGAGGAAGCCGCTTACCCACTGCCCTTTTGCCAAGCCATTTGCCTATGTTTGAGGGACTCCTTGCCTCCGCACAGCCGCCCCCGGCTGGTGTTTCTAGGCCAGACACTGCCACACTGGAGGGATGATGCATTATTCCTTCGAGCTGCAGTGAAGTTTCAGCCTCGTTCGTGGGTATTTCCAAATTTGCCGTCTCCCTTTGATTTGCAGTTGTTCCCACAAAGCCTTTTCGACACAGCATGGCTTCGCGGCAAGCGGCTACCGGCAGGCCCTTGGCCAAAAGGCTCCGTGCTGCCTTTGCACCCGCCAGAGGCTGCTCAAGGTCAGTTTTGGGTTGCCTGCCCTAAGGACCCTGTGCAGCACATGCATTCCATGAGTGGAGTGCAGCACCCAGCCAACATGTTGCCCCCTCTTGGCCGATTTCTGGAGGAGGCCGTCGACTTCGTTGCAACATGTCCCACGCATGATGCCCTGTTCTTGTGGGCAGAGAGGCTCAAATCCTTGCTTCAGCTGGCCGAAGAGTTTGCTCCGCGTCAGAAGCGGTTGCTCGCCTCGTGCGATGCTCATGTTGCGCGCATCAACGCCAAGAAGCGCACTTTGCTGCTCAAGCACGTCTTGCAGACAGTTGGCTATCAGGACACTGCCATCGCTGACGAGCTAGCTGCCGGTTTCCCTTTGTTTGGATGGCTTCCTGAGTCAATGGAGCTGCCCAGGCATCCACAGCCACCTGCGGTGGACATTGCCTCCTTAGAGCGCATGGCCCCAGCGTTGCAGGCCCGCGCCTTGGCACGTTGTCAGCCTACAGATGATCCAGCAGCTGACCAGACACTTTTTGACACTACACTGACGGAATTGCAGCAGGGCTGGCTAGATGGCCCCTTTTTGGCCCCGGACGTGCCAAGCACTTCCGTCATCAGCCCGCGTTTCTATGTTTTGCAGTCTGACAAATGCAGGCCTATTGACGACTTTACGTTCAATCTTTTGAACTCAGCCGTCGGTTCAGCCAACAAGGTCGTCCTGCATGACACTGATTTTATCGCTGCCTTGCTCAAGCGGTGTTGCAGTTACAATAAAGTGCCCTGGCGTGGACGAGCCTTCGACCTGGACGCATACCGTCAGCTGGCGATTGCGCCTGCGCACCGAACACACTCGTTCATTTGCGTGTACGAGCCCATGCATGGTCCGAGGTGCTACCGTATGCTGACTATGCCATTTGGCAGCTCGGCCTCGGTTTACGCCTTTTTGCGCACTAGCTTAGCCATTCATGCGCTTGGCGCTCGCCTTTTTCGCCTGCCCTGGACTTGCTTCTATGACGATTTCCCGACCGTGGTGCCCGAGCCACTCGCCAACGCAGCCACGCACCTGATCAAGTCCTTGTTCACATTGTTGGGTTTCCAGGTCAGTGACAAGCCCTCCAAGAACCCGCCGTTTGCAGCCGTGTTTCAGGCGCTTGGGGTTGCCTTCAACCTCACGCGAGCAGTTTCCGGGGTTTTCGAAGTGGCGAACACCGAGGCCCGAATCCATCTCCTGGCTTCTAGCTTGCAAGAGCTTTTGACAAGCCATTCCCTCTCACCCAAGGAGGCTCGCAGATTGAGAGGCCGCATGCAATTTGCGCACGGTCAATTATCGGGACGATACCATTCACGATGCCTCTCATCACTACATGAGCTTTCTGCCCTGGCACCAGGCTCTCGCGCCCCTACGTCGCTTGTGAGGATTTTGCAGCGCTGTTTGCAGTCTCTTGTCAATTCCATGCCAAGAGCAGTCAGCAGCAAGGACCGCCTCGTTTGGCATCTTTTTACAGATGGTGCCTTGGAGGCTTCCAAGCCCTCCATAGGAGGCGTCCTCGTGGACTTCTTTGGGCAACCCCGCTTTCACTTTTCTTTTGAGCCCCCGGCTCTTTCAGTTCTTGCGACCTTTGGATCTCACTGCATTTTGCACCTCGAGATCCTTCCCATTTTGGTGGCACTTCACCTCTGGCCAGACCTGCTCTCAGGCACGGCCATTTTCTTTCATGTGGACAACGAAGCTGCACTTCATTCTCTCATTCGCATGTCATGCGACAACCATGCGGCCGACCAGCTTGTCCAACACTTCCTACGCCTTGAGCAACGGATGACCTTCGACACATGGATCCACCGGGTCCCTACCGAGGTGAATGTTGCCGATGCCCCCAGTCGAGGCGATGAAACTCAGTTACTTTTCTTTCGATCCCAGAAGTCCCACGTTACACCAAGCATTTGGAACAGTCTATGGAGCGAGCTGCAGCTGTAAAATTTGCTTGCTCTTGTACCGTTTCTTTCCCTACGCATGAAGTGCACATAGTGTCCTTTCATGCCTTTATTCACACGTATTCGTTTGCCGTTTCCGTCCGTTTGTGCCGCCTCAGGTCACTTCACACGGTCGAGCGCTCAGTTTACAGGGGGTGCGTGCGAGTTCTCGACATGGGGCGCTTGCCTGCCCTCACCCCCTGTGGCCTTCTTGGGGGACCCCCCTCTTTTCGGGTGTGTCCCCCCTTTCTGAGAAGGACCTTTCCTTACCTTGATGCTCTACCCCGTGTGCTGAAAAGGAGTGCTTGCGCTCAAGGTTCCCTTGTCAAGTATTGTTGAGAGACTCAAGCTGCTTAAGGGCACCTGGTATAAGGATTGCTAGTGCTTGCACTCGCGGCGTTATACGGGTGCCCTTAACTGTTGAGTTGCAGCTTGAGGCTCAAACCTTTCCTTTCCTTCCAATTTCAGGGCCTTAGATTTTCTCCCACCCACCCACCCAGGTTGGACGAGTGAGTGGCTATGCCTGCCATACCAAGTAGCTTATTGGCTACGCGTGCCACACCATGTGGCTTGCCTTTCAGTTTGGGTTCGGGGCGCTTGCCTGCCCTCACCCCCTGTGGCCTTCTTGGGGGACCCCCCTCTTTTCGGGTGTGAACCCTTTTCTCCCTTTTGGGGTCCCCCCTTTCTGAGAAGGACCTTTCCTTACCTTGATGCTCTACCCCGTGTGCAGAAAAGGAGTGCTTGCGCTCAAGGTTCCCTTGTCAAGTATTGTTGAGAGACTCAAGCTGCTTAAGGGCACCTGGTATAACCCTTCCCGTGCGCCTCCCCTTTGGGAGAAGGGGTCGGCGGAAATTGTACATGTGTTGGGGTATACCTGAGAAAAAACACCTGGTTAAGTCATGAAAATAGACATTTGGAATTTTCTGTTATTTAAAAGTCTGGTGGCGCCGGGCATGGACATCCTGAAGAAGCTGCAATGTTGGGTCTCTTCAGAACGGGGAACTTCAGGTCTGCAGATGAGAAGGCAGTCAAGAGTTGTGTGGCTCGCACGCTCGCACGGGGCAGTGTCGCCTTTGGGTCGAAATCTGTCTGACTTTTGGGGCCTTGCAGCGGTTCCCAAGACAGACTGTCAACATGCAACACTTGACTCGAGTCGCCGCAAGGTGGTCCAGACACGTGAGGCCAGAGGTCAGCTTGGAATGGCGGCTACGCTGCCTGAATGCCGGGTGCATGCGGGCTTGCGACAGAAAAGACTTGGTCCTTGCAGCAAGGCTTGTGCTTTTGTTTGCTTTGTATGGTGGATGGGGTTGCTGGCGGTGCCCATTGCAGGATCTTCTGCCCTCTGGCATGTACGTCCTGCCATGCTTCGACTCAGTGCTCACCTGGCCCGGCACCCAACTGTCGCGGGGCGGTTGCTGTGGGCAGTGACCCAGGCAGGGGGCGCTCTTCGTCCGACAGGGCCTCTACAAGGGGGCAGTGTTTAAGCCGCGGGCCCAGCACATTTCACAAGATTCTCTATGGGGGATTCATTACTAGTTTTGTTTGAAGGTGGCATGTAAACACCCCTGTTTGACGGTGCCATGTAGAGCTCGCTTGAGGTTCCGACTGGTCCTGCCAGAGGAATACCCAGACCAGGGCCCAGGAGTCGATCTCAGGCATTTTTGGAGGCAGACAAGTGCGACATGCGACGATGTCCTAAAATCGGGGACTGCCTTTTGGATGGCGTCCAAAGGGACACCCGAACAACATGAGAGCTGAGACCTGTACTTTACGTCAGATGTTTTCCATCCAATGGCCACGGCCTCAGGCTTTGCAAAAGCGAGGCTTGGAATCAAGCCAGACGTTTGAGCCGAGCCCAGGTTGACCCAAAGACTGGTCAAGTGGAGCTCGGGTCTTTATTTCCGGAGTGGTGCACCTGCCAGGATTTAGCCAGTGTCGTGCATCAGACCTCTTTTTGCATTTTGAGCAGTCAATGACTCTGTGAAGATCAGAAAATTGACAAAGCGATGGCCAAAGGCGCACAGTACCCCACTACCAAAGACAGCAGGCCACATAGCTGTTTTTGCCAAGTGTTCTGACACTCCTTCAGCAGACATCATCACGTACATTTTGCAGCATTTGCAGCAACGTCATTTGCTCGAGATGTGCCCATGCTACACGTGTTGTCAACTTGCAACAAGCGACAGGAAGCACAGTATTAGAAGAAATACAACACCTGGCATGACTGTTGAAGCCGCCAAGCTTGCGCACGGGCATTTTATGCAGCGCGATTCCAATGATGGGAGCCATTGGTGCCAGGCGACCTGGCAGGGACTTTGCCGCGTTTGCATTGCTGGGCGCTCGAAGTATGTTCATGACATGCTGTTTCGGAAACCGCCATTCTCTTGTGGGTTGCCTGGATCTAAGCATCTCTAAAACTGTATTTGATGTTGGCGGCGCGCTTCGCTTCGCTTCATGCCACAGCTTTTGCGTCTGGGGAGGCCCCATTTGCATCGAGCGTTTCTTCGACGCGAGTGCTCCACTTGGCTGCGTCCCAAATTTGTGGATCCCCAAAAATGTTGGTTTCCTTTTGGTTGCCTTGAAAACAGCATACCCAAGTCTGGTTTTTTGCGCTTATTCTTGCATCCTTCTCCCTGAAACTACGGCGCAAGCGACATGAGGTACTTCGCCAGCAGTTCTCGACCTGCTTTAAATCCGGAGGCGCTTCAGCCAGCTTCCCCGATTGTGTCACGAAGGGGCGGGTGGACAATTCAAATGGCCTGTTATGTACTAAGAAATATCGTTGCTCAGGTCAGATGGCATACCACTAGGCAGTTGGATGGCCCTTTCCCTATGGTGTCCCAATGTCCAAGCAAAGCCGCACACGAAACCGTGCAACCGCAGGCCAGGCAGCTCTTCATCTCAGACCCTACAGCCTTTGCTGAGCGTGCCCCGCAGCTCAGTGTGAGTTTCTTTGGGGCGTGCATAGGTCTCTTTCCGAGTTCCGGAGTGGGGCTTGTGACTTGCAGCTTTGGCAGTGATCCAATGGATTGGCAAAGGCCAGGAGTTGCGCCAAGACCAGCTTGCTCCCATCTCAATTTGCCATGGCCGCCTTGGGACAGCTCAGCCGTGCATGCTGTGGATGGTAATGTCGGGTGTTTAGCCAATCTTTGACGTAGGCTGTTTTGACCTGCTCTGTTTGAGTCTTCGAGGCTTCATGTCTACGACAATGCTTCCGGGCTGCTGCCTCGCATTTGTTTGTGTGCTCCTGTAGTGCCTTGCCATCCAAGGTCTGCCCTCCAGTTCACAAAGGGGCCAATGGAGGCCGGCTGTTCACACCATTGCACGCAGTTGTCACAGAAAGAAGCAGTTCAGGCGCATGACACAATCATTGAGCACCTCAAGGCCGACACGTCCTCTTCACTCGAGGACCTTGTGTGGAGTCGCAGAAAACCGCTGGCTTGCCCGGCTCTGGGGCGTCAGGAGCGCAAGACGGCCTTCATCGACTGGAGCGGAGCTCGGAATGTCAGCTTGCAGCTTGCAGGTTGAGGTAGGACGGCACAAAGCAAGCTAGCGGCCTCTAAGTCTTGGTTTTTGGGTTTTGAATTCGTCTTTTAAATTTGTCTTTGTTCTTTTTGCAACATTCAAAGGCAACGTCAGGACCCTGAGAGGGCACCTGAGCCCAGGTTCTGCGACCACTACGCGCACAAGCGCACCCGAGTGGGCGTTGCGCAGGGGGATGCGGAGGCCGAGACCATCCTTTTCGACGCCAGAGCCACAGGAGCCGCTCTGTCAACCGGGATTTGGTTTGTCTCGAAACAATGTGCCTACTTTAGAAAAGCACCAATTTGGGATTTGGACACGCTTTGGCAGACAACCATCATGTAAAAGGTCTCCTGTTGAGTTCCATGCCCAAGCACGCAAGAGGGTACAGATACATCTACAATCTCTCCCCCCCGCCCCCACCGACAAGCATCGAACTGCTCAAGAAGCCTTTCCGAAAGGAAGCTAGTCCTCCAACTTCCATATTTGTTTGTGGGAGTGTGATAGAATGATTGTACATATGTCTAGATGATGCATTGCAATGAAAGGTACCTGGAAAAAGATAGTCCAATATTTTACATGATTATGCACAGACAGACATCGGGCGTTATTCTAAAGGTCTGGGAGTTAAGTATTCGATGGCCATCGTTGCCGGTTGAGGTACCTCCGCGAAAGATTCGTGACGGAGCTGCGAAGCTTTTTTGTTTTTTTCTGCGAAAGTTTTGCGTAACGGTCATTTTGTAAGTCAGTGACAGCTGGAGGTGACAACTTTTCACCGCAAGGGTGGTACATGAGACGCACTTCCACAGCTCCGGCTGGAAAGTCGCAATTGTTCAGTACCAAGTCAGTACCCGAAATGCACCTCCGCACCCCCAGCTGGAAGTCGCAACTTTTCAGTACCAAGTTAGTGCACTTGACTCGTGCGGCGCTGAGAAAGTACCTCCTCTTGCAATCGAAGCCTGACTTTCGGGCTTTCGCGGAACTTTCGCCAAAACTCATAGAGCCACCGAGTAAGAGCACACATGTGCATTTGGAGCACTTACCAGCCAAGCAGGGTATCAAACTGTAGCCTCATCAGGCATTATCACCTAGACGTGCAAACTGCAAAAGCAACAAAGGATTTGAATCAACTATGGAATGAGGGCTCAACAGAAAAGATGCTCTCTGCTTTCACATGGAGCTGCGGTCTTGCATCTCGCTACTGACTTGGTACTCAACGTTGCGACTTTCCAGCCGGAGCTGCAGAACAGCATTTTGCGTACTACACTTGTACTGAATTGTGACTTTCCGACTCGAGCAATTAACAGTGCACGCGATGAATCCGTGAAAGATTCGCGCAAGTAACTTGTGTTTTCGCGAAGAACTGTCGTTTCGACAGAAAGGAATTTAGAACACCCCGCACATATGTAGGTATATATATATATATGCTGTGAAGTTTCATGAGTTTATCCATACCAGTAGAGCTGGCAGAGCCGGTTGTCGACAAATAGAAAGGTTGACAAATGGATAACGTAGACAAATAGGGTTTCGACGACTGGCGTGTTTTTCCAGTTGTGACCAGTCTTTCAACGGGGTCTTTGTTCGGGAACATGCGCAAATGAACTCTCGGGCTTGCCCTGCGTAGGAACTTCCAGACTACTATTCCCCCTACTTTCATGCTCAAGGTTGCGACTTTCATGTACTTTTCGTACTTAAGTCTTGCGATTTTCAAGCTGCAGCTGGAAAACTGTGCTACGCGTACGACTTTCGTACTTAAAGGTTACGATATCCGAGCCGCGGACAGACACATGTACTTCGTGTTCTCGTACTTAAGGTTACATTTTGTGAGCCGCAGCTGGACAAGTGTACTTTGTACTTTCGCGCTGACAAGATCCGCTACTTTGAACACCTTTCGTACGTAAAAGTACACTTCGCACAGAAACCACACAACTGTGTTTGAGGTTGCCAAACTGCTGCGCTTGCCACAGCATCTGCACCTCAGGTTATGAAAGTGCTGCGCCTGTCAGCGCCATCTGTACTTGAGATTCTGAAGCCCGCCACGAAATCTGTATTTGAGGTTCTGAAAGTGCTGCGCGTGCCACGAAAGTGCCGCACCTGCCACGAAATCTGTACCTGACCTTGCGAAAGTGTTGCGCCTGTCGCAAAATCTGATCGCCAATCCATCAAAGTGCTGCGCCTGCCACGCAATCTGTACACCAGGTTTCCAAAGCGGTGCGTCTTCACGCGAACTCCGAACCCGCGAAAAACTGTCGTCGCGCTAGAGGTGGTTTGCCAAAGCACGCAAAACACGTACAGGGCGCTCACTTTGAGCACCTTCTATCCCAAAGTGCTGCACCTGTGAACGCAACCTGAACACCTGTCACCTCTTCTTTTTGCCTCTCTTCTCTTTTCTTCTTCTCTCTTGTGGTCTCCTTCCGCTCTCATCTACTTTTAAACGACAGCTAACCTTCATTTAGCGCCATTACGGAAGTTCCTTCTAAACTTCCTTTGATCATTGTTGTGTTCACTGCAGATACAAAGGTATCTTTGAAAGCCAAGGCCAAGGCGCAGCCAAAAGCCGGCAGCCCAGCGAACCAGCGTTCCACTTGAGTTGGAGAGCGTCGGGATCCGTTTCGCACCAGTTGCGGGAGCCATCATACAATCAATCTGGAATGAGTTGTCGGAATGAGGAACAAAGCAACAAGGTTTGTTTCAATTTAAGTGAAAAACAAATCCGTCCAGTTTTCCTTTAAATACGACCAACAGGGGTTCCCTAGAAAAGGACACGGGCATGACGGTGTGCAAGCGTCCCTGCCTGAGGCCGGGTATCCCAAAGCTCCGGTCAAAGCAGCGCCGCCCATCCTCTCCCGCAGCAGTATCCTCGGGGCTGGAAATACGCCAAGCGCCGATGAGGACGAGCTGGTGGGCCGTGCTTGTCGTGTTGTGTTGGATCCTTTTGTAGGGCTGGTTTTGAAGGGGAACCAAGAAAGAAGGTTCCCTCATTGGAGACAACCGCATGTGGTTGCTTTTCGTAGAATCACATCCTCCAACCAAATAGACAGGACATCCTCACTTTGAGGAACACCCCGCATATGTCGTACATTCAGCATCTCGCCCGGTTTCTTTCGTTGCCTTGGAGGAGTTCTTCTAGCCAAGTCTGGCCTCGTTTCACTGCAGAAAAAGGTTGGCAGAGCAACCCTTATGGGGGCTAAATGAACCTGAAACGATGCCAGCCACCTGAAGGGAGTTGCCGGAGTTCCCAGGGAAGCATGATCGCAGTCCCCGGCCTGGGGATCGCTTGATGGCTTCATCTCACGTGGCCCAAGGTCACCGGGTTGAAAGCTCAATGAAAGCCATTTGGGAGCTTCCAGAATAGGGTACCCCGCAAAAGATGGTATCCTTTCGCTTGAGGGATGACTCGACCATTTTCCCATGTTAGTTCTGCGCAGCAGCATAGTCATTTCGACCGTGGCTCATGTTCAACAAAGATCAGAAGGCCAGCTAGCGGCTAGCAAGTGCCAGCAGCTGTTGAACTGACATTCCAGCATGCTGAGCCATGATGAACACTTCTTCGACGTCTCAGAGGATGAGGAATCAGAGGAATTCTTCTCTGGTGGCCTTTCGCAGGACTGACATGGCAGAATGCCGAGAGTTCTCAAGATTGACATGATCAGTCAAGAATCGTTCGCTGCTGTCTGGTCAGGGGCTTTTGCTTAAACAAACTCAAGGCCAAGGTCCAGTCACGGATCCCCGAGGACGCATCACCGGAAGCCCCGAGACGCAGCAACCTTCTATGCCGAGCAGCGGAGAGATTTCCAGTGCTCAACAACTTCATGCAAGCGCTACACAATTTCACGGGGGATGAGGACCAAAGCCACCATGCGTGGCCCCTCTTTTGGATGAAAAAGAAGCAGAGGCCCCCCATCCCCATTTTGAGGTGTCGCCTATTTCTGGACACACGCCATCCGGTGAATGGCTCATTTCCCTTTCCTTTTGGGGCAAGGAGTCACTGCAGCGGGCGAGGAAAGTTAACCCCTTGCGGGGCTCTGGGCGTTTGGCGCGGGGCGCTGAACACGTGCCCTTCCTGAACAACGTGATGCAGACGCTGCATCGCGCCAGCGGCAAGCAGGAGGACCTTCGCCGCGCGCGGCGGAAGAACCCCCTGGGCGCCAACGGCTACATCACCAAACTCGGGGAACATATCCCGGGCCTGGCGCGATGTTCGAAAGCTCGAACGTGTCAAATCCAAGTTAGGTTTGGGCAAAACATCGAGTAGTCTATCATCGTGTCTTCCATTCGAGGGACAGGGGGGACCCACTAAGCACACCCTTTTTTGTCTCTTGTATCTTCCCCCCAGAGTCACAGGCGGACACCATTTGCTGTATCCACAAGTTCCGGGGCTTGGATGCGGAGGCAGAAAGGGCCCGCGCCTTTTCTTTGCACCGCATGGTGGGGCGCCAGGCGGGGCACAAACTGCCGTGAGAAGGACTCAGAGTAACTCGAAATTGGGACCCTGACACATTTGGTTTGAACATGGGATCAAGAGTGGCCGAAACACACATATATATATATATATATATGTATAAGTGGGGAAACTATTGTTGTATGAGCAAGATGTTTTCGTGTCGGATCTCGTGGGTCCTCAGGGTATATTAGTTTGAACCAATTTCGCCTAACCCTGGTTAAATTATGAACGTTTCCGCAAATTAGGATTCCCCTTGTTTTTCTCAGAACCGTGTATAAAACTGGGTGCGTATTTTTGGACACACCCACGCCCTACAGTTACCACAATTCCTTGAAAACAAGTCCTCCAAGAAAAAACGCCTCCTTTTTGGTCAGTGGCTTTCATTCAATAAATTCCAGTGGTCTATAGTCATTTGAGGTTTCGGAGGGAGAAGAGTCACGCAAATTGATGACGAAAATGACGAAATTCAGGGGGACGGACCCCCGCCCTCCCGCAATTTTTCCACGCAGGTCTTTTTTGTTGCCTCACCCAGGGCGCCATCACTCAGCTGGCGCAGCTGCTGCCAGGCACCAATTTGATCGCGGCGCTGCTGGCAGAGGCGAAGGGGGACCGCAAGGAGGCGAGGGTATGGAAGAGGATTTGACACATTGAAAAAGGGGTCCCATTCTTTGCCGGGTTTTCACGCTATGAGTTGACACCCGTCCAAGCCAAAACAGAAACCCAATTTGAGTGAACACCAGGCGTTCCATTTTTTGAGTGACCATGAAGGTAGAATTCAACCCAGCAGTTGCTTTCCCAAGAGCGGAACCCCTGGGTTCAGTTCAGTCTTGCCGGGGTTAAATTGAAAAATGGATTTCCGAGTG